TCTTACAAAGGCCTTGAGAAACAAATTTATAAGGAGAGGGTGAGCATCTTTGAAAGTGCTTTGGAGAATGTTTTCTGTAGACCAGGGATGATGGCGAAAGTGGCTAGAGTTGAATCTGGCTTACAGAGTTACAAGAGATAGGAGGATTCCAGAATGGCATGGTTCAAGTAGCAGCACTTAACATTCGCATGTGGCTAACTTGAAAAGGTCAGTGTGAAAATCAGAATTGTCTGACCCATAGGTATTTCGAGGTGACTAGCTGGTCATGGAGTCCCTAGGACTGAAATAGATGGGCATCCCACTAAGGTCCTACTTGATTTATATATCAAAGAAGTAAACAAACAAAAACCTTCAGGTCTAGAAAAGAGATACATTATCCAATTTCCAGATATGAATGAGTTGTCAGACACAGTTTAAGGAAATCTGGGTACTCTTGAGGAAGTGCCTACTTGAATCTTCCTTCTGTCATGCAAAGGGACACGAGGCCATTTATTGGGATAATTGTGAACAATGAAGCAGAAATAGTTTGCTTTCATCTGGTATGGACAATAGTATAGCTTCACCTTCTTGTCACAGGATTATATCACCTTTCAGGCTCTGGGCCACAATTAAGCAGAAAGCTTGCTTATTTCCTCATTCTAGGACATCACATGGACTCACTAGATTGTTAGTACTAGGCAAACAGGGACAAAAGTGTAAAAAGTATTATAGATTTTTGAAACCTTCAAAAAAACGTGAGATCTAGAGAGTGGAAAATTTTCAAGGGTCCGGTATATAGAATATATTTAGCTTTGATTTTAAAGTGAGGGATGAACCATTGTATTTGAAACCTTTGTGATTTTAGAACTTTGTTACTGGGTCCAAGTGGAACATCTAACCCTGGGACACAAAGTGACTGCAATCTTAATTGCTCACGACGATCCAGGCGTTAAGACTCCCAGCTCAAGTTGAAAGGTAAACATAGAACTAGGCCTGGACAGGCCCTGAAGGCAAGAAAGTTTAATCAGCAAGTTGCTCATATTCTCCCGTTGCCTACTCCTGTCAGACTGCTGTCCCTCTCTAATTTACATATATTGCCTCATGGAGTATTCACTATGACCAATTAATTTAGGAGGAAAAATTAAAACCCTGGATTACAGATGTCTCTTACTGGCTTGAAGTAGATAGCTCGAGCATTTTCAGGTCACTCAGATACCAGAAAGACAAGAGAAAAGGGCAATCCTCACAATGGGCAGAATTTGAAATAACACACCACTTTGTTCTGTTTGCCTGGAGTCAGCAGTGGCTAATGGTTTGGTAACTTGACCAGCAACTTGGGAGAAGTAAGATTTGTGACAAGGAAGTTGGAGAAAAAGCTAGGGGAAAGGACCTTGAAATGGGCCAGAAGATGCGAATATTATATCCCATATTGTTGAAAAGAAAAGCGAAGATGATTAAATTCCCTCATTATAATCTTTAAAATTTTAATTAGCTTTGGTGCTTATATTGAAAATTAATACATAAAACAGATAAACTTGATCCTGAAGTGGTTGAATCTGGTGGGGTGTGTGTGTGTGTGTGTGTGTAGGTGTGTAGCAAAAATCTCACTTATTTTCTCCTCTCTTCCCTTGTCCCTAGGGTCCCCAGAGTATGGTTAGAAAGCTACTAATCTAGTCCATCCTCACTTTAAAGATGAGAAAATGTGCAAAGAATTGACTTGACTTGTCCCAGGCCATACAGTTAGTGGCATAGCCAGGATAAAAAATCAAGTCTGCCTCTTAAACTAGTGCTCTCTCTGGAATAGCACATTACTTCTGTAACTGGGAATAAATTCCATTTAATGGCAATTGGACTCTTCCCTGTTATCTAATCCATAACTCATCATGACAGAAAAGTACCAGCACTGTCCATTCTTCAAAACATGGAAAACAGAATGGCAGGGGTAGACACTAGAATAAAAATGATTAAATATTTGAATGTATTTTTTTTTTTTGAGGAAGACTAGCCCTGAGCTAACATCTGCTGCCAATCCTCCTCCTTTTGTTGAGGAAGACTGGCCCTGAGCTAACATCTGTGCCCATCTTCCTCTACTTTGTATGTGGGATGCCTGCCATAGCATGGCTTGCCAAGCGGTGCCGTGTCTGCACCCAGAATCCGAACCCGCGAACCCCAGTCTGCCAAAGTGGAACGTCCAAACTTAACCACTGTGCCACCAGGCTGGCCCCTGAATGCATATTTTTAATTTGCATCATATAAACTTTTCCCCTCAGACTTGGAATGGCCTTCCAGCAATATGCTAAGCACATTGTACTAACTGTGTAATTTAAGGAAAAGGCAGCTTAAGTTTTTGAAAGATGTTGTATCCAGCTGTGACCCTTCCTTACCTAAGGCTGCACAGTCCAATGTGGTAGTCACTAGCCACATGTGGCAACTGAGCACTTGAAATTTAGCTCATCTGAATGGAGATGTGCTGTAAGTCTAAAATACACACCAGATTTTGAAGACTTAGTATGAAAAAAGAAAGTAACATATTTCATCAGTGTTTTTAAAATATTGATTGCATGTTAAAGTGATAGTTTGGAAAATTTTGGTTAAATAAAATATATTATTTAAATTAATTTCACATTTCTTTTGACTTTCTTAATGTGGACTAAAAAATTTAAAATTACATATGTAGTTTGCTTTATATTTCTCTTGATCAGAGCTAAAATAAGGAAACTAAACCAAACCAAATGGAATTTGACTAATGTTTCCCACAGCTCATTAGAGTTGTCAGAACTACAAAGTTGTCAGTTACTTCACAAGTCTATGAACTGCTGAGATTTTACTTTTGGAAAAATCACCATACACAAATTGGAATTTTGCACTTTTGAAAAAATGTTGAAATGGCAGTGAGCAACTTGGGACTGTGTCTAATTCTGTTTTTAACATAGAACAAGTTACACTGTTAGGATTTGATAATTTTGCTTTGTAAATCTGGTGGACAAGAGCTCTTTAGTTCTCCAGGGAACGTATAGTAAAAATGGGCCTTTTGGTCAATTGCTTTGAATGTAGAAATAATTTACTTTGAAAATCTGAGCTTCATGGGGCCAGCCTGGTGGCGCAGTGGTTAAGTGCACACGTTCCACTTCAGCGGCCTGGGGTTCGCCAGTTCAGATCCCCAGTGACGAGATGGCACCACTTGGCCTGCCATGCTGTGGTAGGCATCCCACATATAAAGTAGAGGAAGATGGGCATGGATGTTAGCACAGGGCCAGCCTTCCTCAGCAAAAAAGAGGAGGATTGGCAGCAGTTAGCTCAGGGCTAATCTTCCTCATAAACAAAAAAAAAAATCTGAGCTTCATATTACTTTATCACTTTCTTTTAAATTTTATTTCACTATAAGGCTTTTTTTTCCTGCTTTTCCTCCCCCAATCCCCCCAGTACATAGTTGTATATTTTAGCTGTGGGTCCTTCCAGTTGTGGCATGTGGGATGCTGCCTCAGCATGGCCTGAGGAGCGGCACCATGTCCACGCCCAGGATCCGAACCAGCGAAATCCTGGGCCTCCAAAGCACAGTGTGGGGAACCTAACCACTTGGCCATGGGGCCGGCCCCACACTATAAAGTTTTAATTCCTCTACGTTTAATCATGAAGGCAGAGGAAAGCAGAGTAGACAATGAGTTGATGGTATTCTTTTTTTTTTTTTTTAAAGATTTTTATTTTTTCCTTTTTCTCCCCAACGCCCCCTGGTACATAGTTGTGTATTCTTCGTTGTGGGTTCTTCTAGTTGTGGCATGTGGGATGCTGCCTCAGCGTGGTCTGATGAGCAGTGCCATGTCCGCGCCCAGGATTCGAACCAACAAAACACTGGGCCGCCTGCAGCGGAGCGCGCGAACTTAACCACTTGGCCACGGGGCCAGCCCCTTCTTTTTTTTTTCCCCAAAGCCCCCCGGTACACAGTTGCATATTTTTAGTTGTGGGTCCTTCCAGCTGTGGCATGTGGGATGCCGCCCCAGCATGGCGTGATGAGTGGTGCCATATCTGCACCCAGGATCTGAACTGGCAAAATCCTGGGCCACAGACGCGGACTTCCCACTTGACCACTCGGCCACGGGGCGACCCCTGATGGTATTCTTGATGATGCTTGATATACAAAATTTTAGGTTGGCTATAATTATTCTTTTAATTATAATTATTCTTTTATCTAAATCAAAGGCGTCTACCAGGCCAATACACACCAGCATGACACAACCACAGTTAATGCCTTCCTCGTCAGATATCAAGTAGGAATCCTAAGTTTCCAGAGTTTAATTATTTCCTTGGCCTCCTACATTGTGTAGGAATTCCAAAAAAGTACAAACAACCTGCCACGATATATTAGGGCTGTCTTTGAAATGACAGAGACTGTGCGTGCCACGTGGGGACATAGCACCATACCTGCTAAAATGGATCATAAAGGTGATGCTCAGTTAGATTGGTGTCTTTTTCTCAAATCTGTTCCTCGTCCTTCTCCTGTGTTGATGGTATCGCCATCTATTCACAGTCGCTTTATATTTCCTCACTTTCATTCTCCGTGTTCCAAGTGGTCAGTAAGTAGTGCCAAGCCTACCTTTGAAATGTTGCTTGAATCCTTTCCTCTCCCAACCATTTTCAGGGTAACTTTCCTCAGTGAGTCCCTCATCAATGAATTCGGCCTCAGACATAAGGAAGAGTCTTTAAGTGATTAGATTTCCAGAATGAGGACTTACTAAACTGTTTCCAACTTTTCCCCATTTTATTTGAAGTTCTACATTGCCACCAGAATTACCTATCCAATTTGGACAGCGATAACAAAGTGGAGTAACGTATGTCAAGGCTTCTCTTTTTTTTTTTTTTTAAGATTTTATTTTTTCCTTTTTCTCCCCAAAGCCCTCCGGTACATAGTTGTATATTCTTCGTTGTGGGTCCCTCTAGTTGTGGCAGGTGGGATGCTGCCTCAGCGTGGTTTGATGAGCAGTGCCATGTCCGCGCCCAGGATTCGAACCAACGAAACGCTGGCCCCTTGCAGCGGAGCACGTGAACTTAACCACTGGGGCACGGGGCCAGCCCCGTCAAGGCTTCTAAAATGGGGTTTATGCACGTACAACACGTCTCTGCCCAGATGGATTGTAACTTTTGAACAATGCTTCACTGTGGTCATCTTGACCTCCTTTCAAGAAATATGCTTATCCCATAGATAAAATCTTTTTGCCTTAGAGACGGCCTTAGCAATCAATCACATATAGGCAAGAAGTAAAAGTTGTTGCCAGCACCAGTCACAAATTTTGCAAAACAACTTGGGTAATTTATCTCTTTTTGCCTTTATAAACCCTTGCCTCCTTTGTCTTCCGTGGAGCACATTTTGCTTTTCTGCCTGAATCTGTGTCTCCTGAATTGCAATTCTAATTGCCCAAATAAATATCTGCTGTTTAAGTTGTAGCAGATTTTTCCTCAGTTGACACCAAACAGCCTAAGGATCCAAACATATCACTTCCCTGCTTGAAGTCTTTTCAATTGGATCCCCACTTCCTACAAGATAACGTCCAAACTCCTTAACATGACATTTAAGGCCCTATGTGTTCTAATTTCAATTTACTTTTCCAGACTTACGTTCTTCTCCCACCATATTCTAGACTATGAAAATCTAAGTTTAAAAAAATCATGTAATCAAAAATCCATTAAGATTCTGAATTTTTTTATTGCTTATAGTGGGGGAACTGAGAAGATTTACGTATGGTATAATAAAACAGACATTACTCAAATATAAATCTATTACTTATGGAAAATATATTCTGTGTATTTCCTTTTGTTAATGAAGTAGGGATTCTTTTGACAGCAAGTGACAGAAATCTAATTTGAATTAGCTTTGGCAAAAATTAGAAATTATTGGCTTATGGATCCCAAGGAAGAGTTAAAAACAAACCTAAGAGATGGCCAGCCTGCAGCTGGGCCTCAGGGACAAATGCAGGAACTTCACTGACATTAAAATTCCGTTTGACAGTTGGCTCGGCTCCTCTCTGCATGTCAGCTTCATCTGCTCTCACTGCAGACAGGACTTTCCCGCAAAGAAGAAAACATGGACACCAATAGCTCTTTGGGTCACTGTCCTTTAACGACAATGTTAAACGACTCTCTTGATTCCAGTATGAAAAATCCAGAGGAATGCCTCTGATTCTACTGGCTTGGGCCAGGTGCCTCTCCCTGGACCCATCAAGTGTGACCAGGAGAGTGGGGTCATGTAAGTAGAGAAAAGTTCTGCCTATAGCCATGTGGATGGGAGCAGGAGAGGGGGAGACCAGTTCTCAAGAAAGAGAGCTCCTGGGGAAGGCAGTACCACTGACATCCATTACAGTAAGTAATTCTTAAGTAATTTTAGTGGAACTCAAGTAAAACAGCTGAAAATTGTATAATTAATTATATTTAACTTCCATTATAGTTACTAATTGATCTCAGCCTGCTAACACTGCAGCTGGCCCCATGATAATAGATTTTTAGGCCTGCTTGGCCTACAAGTTTGTGCTCGTAATTCGCTTATTCTACCTAAGGTTTTCTTGTTTGTTTTGTTTTAGGGATGTAATCATATTAGTTTCAAATATTGTTAATTTTATATCCTAAGAGTCATAACTCATATTTCAGTTTTGTTGCTTATTAGCCCAAATTCTAGAATCATGGAAAATAATCATTTGTATTATAGTTAAATTTTCAGATATACATATAAATAAAGCCTAATAGGGTAACGAAGCAGGAAAACGTATATCAATTGAGTGACTCTGTAGGTTCCTGTTGGAGCTAGAAGGGAACTCAAAGATACCAAGGCTTGAAACCAGCCAGGATGCAGGGTATGGTATGCCCAGTTTTTAAAACGTTGGAACAATTCTATGGGGGTAGGTGAACTGCTGCTGCCCTGAGACAGTGCCCTCCTCCCACCTCTCCACAGTCCAGCAACTAAAGGGGCAGATGATGGCACAGTAGGGGCTGATTGGTTCCAACTGGTTGTTTAATATTTTGAGTTTCAGTGATATTAAAACACAGTAATTTGTGTAATTTGACCCCTAGTGGGATATACCCTTACGACAAAAAAAAAAAAAACAAAAACCCTGAAAAAAAAGCTTAGATTATTGTGCTAGTCTCTCTACTCTGTGCAAGTATGAAGTTTTCCACAATAAAAAGTCAACAAATCAGTTAAATTTCTTTAATATCATCCCTGGAGGTCACGTAATTAAATTCCTTAATTTTACAGAAGGAAAAAATTGAGGTCTAAAGAATTCAGTCGGTGGAAAAAGTAAGGACTTTGAAATCTCACTTACTGTACTAGCTATGTGACCTGGGGCAAGTTACTTAACTTCGCTGAACTTCAGTTTAGTCACCTGTAAAATGAGGCTGAGAACACTTATCACGAAGGGTTTTGTCAGAATTAAAGGAAATCACACTTGTAAAGTGTCAGGCACAGTGAGCAGATGCTGATCGACAGAGAGTAGATTTCATAAGTGACAACTGTCACTATCATTATAACATCTAAGATCACAAAGCTTGTAGTGGCACAGGCAGATCTACAGAATAAGTTCCCTGATTGATGGTTCTGCCATATTATGTTATTTCTTCTGAGTTGTAGGCTTTTAATAAATACCAGTTGAACTGAAGAAAAAAAGAAACACCTGAATGGAAATTAATTGGCAATTGGCAAGAAGAGGTTTTATCTGAAAAAGATTTACTTCCCTAGATATCACATCTTTGATAATAGCAAAATCCAGTTTCTCATCTGACAGTCATGGCCTGACGGCATCCTTTCCCAAGTCCACACGTGGTTCTGTGAGGACAGGTTTATTTATTATTATTTTTTGTGTAAGGAAGATTGGCCCTGAGCTAATATCTGTTGCCAATCTTCCTCTTTTTGCTTGAGGAAGATTGTCACTGAGCTAACGTCTGTGTCAATCTTCCTCTATTTTGTATGTGGGATGCCACCACAGCATGGCTGATGAGTGGCGCTAGGTTCACGCCTGGCACCTGAACCCATGAACCCCAGGCTGCTGAAGCAGAGCCTGTGAACTTAACCACTACACCACCAGGCTGGCCCCCATGAGGATTAGTTTAAATAAAAGGAAGTTCCTTTAGCAGGCTTTCTATTTTAAAATCTGTAACATGAAGCCTCACATGCAACGCAACTAACTATAGATAGTAACCTGATTTGCCCAAGTCACCCTCCTAGATAGGGGCAGAAATGGGATTAGAACCTAATTCCCAATTTCCAGGTCTATATGTTTACTTTCAGTGAATATATCACTTTAGATGTTTACACATTAGAGAGGATGATTTCCACTACAAAGCATAAAATGTGCATCGTCCTTCTTCTAAGAATTAACAATAGGGCATGTTCCATTTGTCAGCACATGGGCTATTTCTTTTCCTTCTTTTTTTGAGTTACCAGTTTAGCAGATGCCTGTGGCGTTTTAAACTTCTTATCATTTGATTTGAGGAAGAACTTTGGGCCTTTAAACATGCCTCATACCCAATGTATGCATTTATTGGCATTATTTGTTTTTTTCTATGTTTTTATAAGCCTCTCCTTTCTTCTTCTCCAGTAATCTTGGGAAGCTTTCATAGGAAGGGCAAAGAGAACAGGATGTCTCTGTTCTCTGTAGTTCTTTATGAAAGCGAAAGAGAATAAATGATGAAATTGATGAATGGAACTGAGAAGACTAAAGGACTTTGCCCCAGTCATTCTGGTATTATATTGGTGGGAAAATCAATTTAGTTTAATAAATACCTAACATTGTGTTAGATGCTGAGATACAAAGACGATTTAGGCACTATATTAGTTCAATGTACCTGCCCTCAGAAAGCACAGAGTTTAGGTTAGGTGGATGGGTATCAAAAGACTATAATAAAAAGCCAGAATATCACTGCTCCATGGGTGAAAATGAAATCCTTTGGCAAGAGAAGAGCAGGTCTGACAAGAATAGGCTTTCAGAGAGAAAGCGGCATGTGATGGGATCCTTGAGGGACCTGACTTCAGCTGACTGAGAATCAGAATTCAAGACTTGTCACCCAAAACTGTTGGTGGTTTCAGTATAGAAAGGAAATGGGAAAGGACAGGGTGTATTCTGAGAACACTGATGTGGCTGCAACTGCCAGCTGCAATTCCATCTAAGAGTTCTTTCTCATCTTTTGGAAATAAAGTGTAAAATCACAGCGGATAAAAATAATCAAGCCAAATCAAAATTCAAAGAATAGCATACAGTAAGAACAGAATAGGTACTCTCTGCTCCAGAACCAGTGTATTGGGAGGGGCTGCGTGCATCTCTAGAACATGAGTGTGGCCATTCACTCAACAAATATTTAATGATTCCCCCCTTGTGCTGCGCACTGTGATCGATGCTGGAGATAGAGCAGTGAACAACACAGCCACGGTCTCCGACTTCACTAAATTTATATTCTGACTAGGGAGACAGTCTTTAAACAACAACTAATTATCTAATTGCAACTGTAATAAGCATTGTGAAGAAGTGCGAGATGCTAGGGAACTTCTGATGGGCGCTCTCACTTAGTCTGGCGTATTAGGGAATTTGTCCTTGAAGAAGTGACATTTGAGCTAAGCTCTGAAGGAAAACTAGGGGTGCAGGGGCTGGGGTTAGGGCTGAGGGCAGAGGGAAACAAGGCTGGTGGTAGCACCAGTGTGGGTGGCCCACAGAGTGAGAAGGTAAAGGAGGTGGAGGAAAGCTTCTTTGTGCATGGCCTTGTAGGCGCCACTCATGATGTGGGTCATTACCCTTGCACACCAGGAAGCGACACATTTTTGAAAGGTCATTCTAAGTGCAGAATGGAGAAAGGATCAAAATGAGACAAATATAGGTGTGGAAATGCCAGTCAGCAGGTTATTGAAGCCTGCCTAGAGTCTGGGCAAAGAAACGAGGGTGACTTGAACTAGGGTGGAGACAGAGCAGTGGAGAGAGTCCAGAAGAAAGGTTGGGAGAAGGAGGGCATGATCTGAAGTGAGAGCGTGGCTTAACCAGATCAGTGTGTGTTTGTATGTGTGTTCCATAGCAGTGAGAGGGATCCGATTATCTCTGTAAGCAGGGACCAGATTTTATATTAACTATTCTGCACTGTTTTTAGTTACGTTCTCTTTTCCTTCATGCCAGAATCCTCACCCTCCCAAAGTCAGACCAAAACTTCAAGAATCAATCATTCTTTTCCTAATCCCCATATACGGAAACTGTGCAAGATTTGGCTTGTGGGGTCACACGCTAGGCTTTCTCACTTCTTTCCCAGAACCTTGTGTTCAACTTTAACAAAGACAACAGGCAAGGATGCTAAGAAGATGTAAGAGGAAAGAGGAAATCCATAACCAGCTAGAAAGAAAAGAAAGATGAGTGAATATGGATTAGCTGTACTGCGTTAGAAAGATATATTGGTACGAGTTCCCCAGGGCTTCCTGTTTTGGGTGGAGATGAAATAACTCTTTAGAATGAATTTTAGCTGCAACTGTGTTTGAGGGTCTTATCTGCTGGAGCAACACCTAGTACAAGGCTCGGACCTTGCAGTCATTTAGTAAATATTTGTTGAATTGAAGCATAAGTACGACAAAGTGTAAGACAGGGCTGTCCCAAGATCCTGAGGGCTATCCATGCTCAGCACAATGTAGAGCACCAAGCTCCTATCATTTCATTACAGAAAGGAGAAGGAAACAGGGAACAGATAGGGGCTTGGTTACTGCTGTGGAAACAGGAACTTTGTGGCATATGAAGTAAGCTCTGCACCAGGAGTTCTAGTAACAATAGTTGACCCTTGACGAGTCTATGTCTTTGTTTTCTCAGTTTTAAAGTAAGGGGATTATATAACATGTGCTGTAAGTGTAATTTTTAGTTTAAAGTGGTAGGGAAAGCAAGGCCCAGAAACTTATATGGATTTAGGTAGGGAAAGAAAAGCAAGCAAGCCAATTATTGAGGGCAATTAGGGAGTCTTTTCTGCTACATTTCAATCTTAAACTGAGACAGGATCCAAATGTGGATTCCTCTCTCTGGGCTCCTGACTAGGAAGTGATTTCCGTCATCGGTTTTTATTCATACCAGCAGCTATTGTTGTCTAAAACAAGGATTCTCCCTTCACTAAAGTCCTCAGTTTCCCAACTTTCCTCACAACATAGGAAACACAGCAGCCTTGCCAAGGACTTGGGTTCACCTAAGTTTCTCCATCCCCGGCCTCCTAGGGCCCTCACGGCAGCCAAGCCTCAGGCCTCCTTTCCAGGCTCCTTAGTCTTTTATAGCCAGGGAAAAAAAATATTTTTTTAATCTTAGAAATAAATATAATTTTATAACTTCTAACAAATTTTATCTTTCCATGTGGCAATAAGA